CACATCTCCACTATCCAGGTTGACTGTACTACCCTCTCTAATGTTAACTACTCTCATTATCTCGGCTCCCACCTGTCCACCAGCCGGGGACATTGATGAAGAGATTCAACATCGGATCAGATGTGCATCTCAGGCCTCTGGCGGACTCCATACCCGTGTCTTCAGCTGAAGTTATCTACAAAGTTACGTATATCGAGCAGTGGTGCCTCCCCACCCTGCTGTATGGCAGTGAGACATGGGTCACATACAGGAGGCACCTCAAGGCACTTGATAACTTTCACCAACGTAGTGTACGTTTCATCCTCCGAGTTTGTGGGAAGACAAGAGAACAAATGCCAGTATTCTCGCTGACACCTACTGTAGGAGCATCGAGGCTACCATTATCCATGAACAACTACCCTGGTCTGGCCATGTTACCAGCATGGACGACAGTAGACTGTTAAAGCAGCTACTTTACAGTCACCTAACGAGTAGTAAACTTAACGCCGGCGGGCAATTGAAAAGGTATAATGATACTCTTAAGACAAACCTGAACAAGAGCCAAATGGACCCCCTCACCTGGGAGACGATTACTCCACACCTTACCGCTTGGAGGAACACCACACGAGAAGGTGTCAATACTTTCCAGTTAGCCCGACTGCAAACCGAGGCAGACAAGCGCCAACGCCGGAAATACGCTGCCACCGTCCCTCCCGCACTAGATGTAGCCCTCCACACGTGCAACATCTGTGAACGACTCTGCAGGTCCTGTATCGGCCTCTTTAGTCACCTCAGAACTCACCAACCTAGTAGTAGTTGATGTGTTGGTTAGGTTGGGTTTGTCTTGTTTGGTATTAGTAGTAGTTGTTGTTGCAGTATGTATGTAATTGGCCTTGATATGACGTAAACACACGTCATCATCATCACAGCTCCGCCTCCTAAGCTCCATTCGTGTTTCTGATTGGCTAAATTGCTTTGTTTTGAAGTACACGTCATTATTTCATCTCCCTCGACGCCTCTGATTGGTTAACACCCGTGACGTCATCTCTTATCTGACGTTCACTTGTTATTTTTGTCATTTTCATATTTTATTAATTTATCTATATATATTTTTTAAACCTCTTCATTTATGTTAATAATTTTAATAATCATAAATGAAATAAAGAATTGTGAAAAAATCTGACTCGTGACAGACAGACAGGCAGGCAGACAGACAGGCAGGCAGACAGAGACAGACAGACAGACAGGCAGACAGGCAGACACAGACAGGCAGACAGACAGACGAGCAGACAGACAGACAGACAGACGAACCAGGCGAACCAGACAGACAGACAGACGAGCGAGCGAGGCAGGCAGACCAGACAGACGAACGAGGCAGGCAGACAGACGAACGAACAGGCAGACGGGCAGGCGAGCGAGCAGACAGACAGACAGACAGACGAACAGGCGAGCGAGCAGACGGGCAGGCAGACAGACGGGCAGGCAGGCAGGCGGGCAGACAGGCGAACAGACGAACCGGCAGACAGACAGACAGACAGACAGACAGGCAGGCAGAGCGACGGGCCGACGGGCAGACAGACAGACAGACAGGCAGACAGGCAGGCAGGCAGACAGGCAGACAGACAGACAGACAGGCAGACAGACAGACAGGCAGACAGACAGACAGGCAGGCAGACAGACAGGCAGACAGACAGACAGACAGGCAGACCATCAAAGGATAATATAAAGAATTACTTAAATACATCATAAGTGTATATTGAGCCATACATATTTATGCCCTATACTTAACACTATTCTAAGTATATCTACACATATTTAAGTATATATTAAGTGTATAGACTACTTATAAAACTACATAGATACTTAGAGGAGATATATAAGTAGATATAAGTACAGGTAATTTACTTAAGTACATAGGATTACTTTACTTTAATACAGAGGATATGAGTGAATGGATAACTCACTTAAGTAGATATAAGTACAAAGGTTACATAACACGATGACATTTATAAGTTGGGAAGGCTAATTTAAGTACACTGGTATCTTACTTAACACACACTAATATACTTAATTCCTGTTGTTACTTATAAGCCTGATTTACACACACGCACACACACACACACACACACATACATAATTTAAAAGGCACATTTACTTTACAAAGCAATTAGAGACAGTTGCTGATTGGCTGATTTATACTACGTCATAGGGAAAAATAGCCGATGATTGGCTAACTTACATTACGTCAAATGAAAGATAACCAGTGATTGTTTATCTTCTACTCTGACGTCATAAAGAATCATACAGTGATTGGTTAGTTCCTTCTATGACGTATTGTTCACTACAAAGGATGGAATAGTTAGTTGTCTTTTACATTGCAAAGATCCTGCTGTGTGATAGGCTAGGGATTATGACGCAATAGATAGAAGACCGCTAATTGGCTACCTCCATCTCTTACGTCATAGAGGCAACATTCGTAGCTGATTAAAATGTATTTATTAATTTTATTTTATTTCGATATTTTAGGTAAAAATCATAATTCACGACTAAATTTTAACATAATTTTTTATATAAATATCTATAAAAAATTTAAACATTTCAATCTTATCAAATATTAACATTATTAATTTATCTTACTTAGGGCTCAGTTTAATAGGATATCTTAATTATTATCTAAGTAAAATCAAATATATAATTTTTAGATTTTTATTTTTACTATAAATCTTAAATCACTTTCACGTTTAGGAGAATTTTTTTAAGTGATATTTATAATATTTATTTTTACAAAGTTTTTAGTGTCATTTAAAAACAAAATTATAGGAAAATTATAATTATATTAATGACTATATAAAATCTCAGTAATTATTATAGATCATTATATAAGAATTAATTATATAAGGTTTAATATATAAATAGTCGATTATATCAGATTTCATGGTATATAATTCAGGTTATATAATGGCTATGTTCAAAAGTTCAAAATATCATTTACATTGTTCAAAAGGTTCAAATTTCCATCCCCACTGTCCAGAAAAGTTAAAAAATCATCCCCACTATCCAGAAAAGTTCAAAAATCCATCTCCACTGTCCAGAAAAGTTCAAGAATCAACCCCACTGTCCAGAAAAGTTCAAAAATCAACCCCACTGTCCAGAAAAGTTCAAAAATTAACCCCACTGTCCAGAAAAGTTCAAAAATCAACCCCACTGTCCAGAAAAGTTCAAAAATCAACCCCACTGTCCAGAAAAGTTCAAAAATCCATCTCCACTGTCCAGAAAAGTTCAAAAATCATCCCCACTGTCCAGAAAAGTTCAAAATCAACCCCACTGTCCAGAAAAGTTCAAAAATCAACCCCACTGTCCAGAAAAGTCTGGGTGGCTAAACCCCACTGTCCAGAAAAGTTCAAAAAATCAACCCCACTGTCCAGAAAAGTTAAAAAATTAACCCCACTGTCCAGAAAAAGTTCAAAAATCCATCTCCACCGTCCAGAAAAAGTTCAAAATCATCCCCACTGTCCAGAAAAGTTCAAAAATCAACCCCACTGTCCAGAAAAGTTCAAAAATCAACCCCACTGTCCAGAAAAGTTCAAAAATCCATCTCCACTGTCCAGAAAAGTTCAAAAATCATCCCCACTGTCCAGAAAAGTTCAAAAATCAACCCCACTGTCCAGAAAAGTTCAAAAATCCATCTCCACGTTTCCCCAAAAGTTCAAAACCTTAGACTATCTCGCTTCGAACTTCTCCTCTGTCAGATGTGGAGACTTGAACTTGCTGTTGAACTTTGACGGGGTTCAATTGAAGGATTTTAACAGGTGTGAGATCAGACGTGTAGGCTTCTGAGTCCAGTGTGTTGGTTCGAACCCTGTTGAGTATCTTTAGCTGTTGAGGGAGAGAGAGAGAGTTAGTCAGTGAGAGAGAGAGAGAGAGAGAGAGTTAGTCAGTGAGAGAGAGAGAGAGAGAGATTCATACATACATACATACACACATACACATACGTATATGAATTATTATTTATATACATAACAAAAAATCTACTACTACTACTACTACTACTACTACTACTACTACTACTACTACTACTACTACTACTACTACTACTACTACTACTACTACTACTACTACCACCACCACCACACACTGACCTTAATGGACTCAGGCTGTGGACTATGTTCCGTGAAGATAGTTAAGCTGACCTTCTCTGTCACTAACCCTTGACCTTGTGTGACCTCATCTCCTTTACAGCATAACAGACGTGACCAAGCTGACCTGAACTGTAGGGGGGGGGGTGTTAAGTTGATAGATACATAGATAGATGTATGAAATATGGTATAATTTAACTATTAATCAGTTCACCTGTTTATACATGTACATTATACATGGATATATTGTTTATTTATATATCAACTCTACCATTTATACATACCTGTGTGTTAAGACCCACGTATATTATAGGGTTATACATGCAGGATGATTTGGCAAATATGGCGGGAACAACAGCAGCCCCGGGCGTCACTAAATCAGGGTTACCGAAGGCCATTAACATTGCTAGAATGCTATAAGGGGTCCAGGCCATGAGGAAAGTGGTCCCCATTATCAGGATCATGACTGCCACACGTTTCTCTGCTCGTGCCACCCCTGCCTGGAGTCCTGTCTGCCCGTGCTGGCGAAGAGGAGAGTGGGGGAGGGTTTAGTTCCTGTGTGTGGGAGAGAGAGAGAGAGAGAGAGAGAGATAGATATATACGTCTTTCTGCTCGTCTCTCTCTCTCTCTCTCTCTCTCCACTAATACATGCTAACTGTTCTTTTAGGTGTGAAATTGTTCCCTGGAATCGTCACGGAGAACTACCATTAAGGACGTTGTTCAGTGAGTGTTCATTTTGTTCACGTAGTCCCGATATTTGTTCATTTCGTATCATATTTTTCATTTAAAGTTGTTCACGTTATTTGTTCATATTGCTTGTTTATTTGTTTAAATGTTCATCTGTTATTATATTCAGCTTGTTCACGTGTTCAAATTGTTCATGAAAATAAACCAAATACAAAGTGACATACGTGATGGCAACACCGTCCACATTGTATTGCGTTATATAAATCTTTATGAAAAAACAATATCCTCTACTCCTATGTCATATATTACTTGTATATTACAGATATATAAATAATTTTGATAATTCAATATGATTTAGTTTATTATTGGTTAATTTATATAATTTATATACATATAAGTCAAAATAAATACAAACCCACATGATGGCAATATCGGTAATATTAACAGGGGAAACTGTCCTAAAGTTGCCTATCCTTACGGGCGGGAATGGGACTAACTTTCAACCGTAATAGTAGATGTTTTATACCACTCTCTTACCCTGAACTGACCCCTAGACTCCCACCCCCCCCCCTCATGTGACCTTTTTCATCAAATGACAAAGAGAAAGCAAGACGTAACTATAGAGACGTAGAATTAATTATGTTCAGTTTGTTTAATGTGCTAAAGGCGCCCTGTGTGTGTGTGTGTGTGTGTGTGTGTGTGTGTGTGTGTGTGTGTGTGTCTGTGTGTGTGTGTGTGTGTGCCTGTGTGTGTGTGTGTGTGTGTGTGTGTGTGTGTGTGTGTGTGTGTGTGTGTGTGTCTGTGTCTGTCTGTGTGTGTAGTGTGTGTGTCTGTCTGTCTGTGTGTGTGTGTGTGTGTGTGTGTGTGTGTGTGTGTGTGTGTCTGTGTCTGTTCTGTGTGTCTGTCTGTGTGTGTGTGTGTGTTCAGTGTGTGTCTGTCTGTGTGTGTGTGTGTGTGTGTGTGTACTATGGCGCGTATGTGGGTGTACTGTATGATCACCTCAAGCTATATATATATGCATATATGTATATTTAAATGAAAATCTTCCTATTAACACATGAAAGCTCATTTAATATCATCACCTTCAATACCTTGGTTGCGAAAAGTGAAAGTCTAATTAATAGTATCACCTTTATCTCACCTGGTTTAAAGTGAAAGTCTAATTAATAGTATCACCTTTATCTCACCTGGTTTAAAGTGAAAGTCTAATTAATAGTATCACCTTTATCTCACCTGGTTTAGAGTCAAGATAATATTGGTGTAGGAGAACGCCATTATGGACATCGGGACACCCAACCCAAAACATAACAGGAACACTATATACGATACGTTTTCCTGCGTACCAGTTTCCCAATCAACTGAGCAACTGAAAAAAAAAAAATCGAGGCAATATTTTTTTTTTTTCCTGTTTTTGGGGGGAAATTTTGGTTTTATTTGGGGTTTTTAATGTTTTTTTAGGGGGTTTTTATTTGACGTGAGTTGGTTTTTAATGTTGGTTTTTATTATTGATTTTATTTTGGTATTGTGTTTTTTTTAATACGTTAGATTTTTTAATGTTTATAAATAGATAGACAGATAGAGGGATAGACAGAGAGGTAAAAGGATGCATAGAGACAGACAGACAGACAGAAATATAGCTACAGATAGACAGAAAAAGACAGAAACAAAGAAACGCAGACTGACATGAGATAAACAGACAGACAGACAGACAGACAGACAGACAGATAGACAGATAAACAGACAGACAGACAGACAGACAGACAGAATGACAGACAGAATGACAGACAGACAGACAGACAGACAGAATGACAGACAAGCAGACAGACCTTATCCCAGGACCCTCGATGTCAAATCCCCCCCAGCCAGCGAGGGGCGGGGCGGTAGTGAAAAAGGCGTAAGCCCATATCGCCCCTATGATGAAGTAAGATCCTCTGTGTGTCAACTCTGAGGACTTCCACGGTCGAGAGACAGACAGACAGAGATAGACAGACAGACAGACAGACAGACAGACAGACAGAATGACAGACAGAATGACAGACAGACAGACAGACAGACAGACAGACAGACAGACCTTATCCCAGGACCCTCGATGTCAAATCCCCCCCAGCCAGCGAGGGGCGGGGCGGTAGTGAAAAAGGCGTAAGCCCATATTGCCCCTATGATGAAGTAAGATCCTCTGTGTGTCAACTCTGAGGACTTCCACGGTCGAGAGATCATTAAATATCTCTCAAATGACAGTACGGTCAGAGTAGAGATAGAGGAGATACCTGTAGGGGGAGATAGTAATTAGTTGCCTGGGAGATAATGTGAGAGATTTTTTTTTTTTGGGGGTGAAAGATACTCTCTCCCTCTCTCTCTCTCTCTCTCTCTCTCTCTCTCTCTCTCTCTCTCTCTCTCTCTCTCTCTCTCTCTCTCTATGAGTATAAGTAGTGAAAAGGCGTATCAACATCCCTCCACCCTACACCTCCCCACACCTCCCACCTCCCACCCCACACCCCCACACCCCCAGAAACAAAGAAAAACAAACAAATTACTCACCAAAGAAGGACATAAGGAAGCCGTATCCCACACAAACGCGTTGGCCAAAATCCCACCCTCTGTTAAGCGCCGCGACGAGGGACATTGGGTTACCGACGATGCTGATGCCGAAGTCAGAGATGGCCAGGTTAAGGAGGAACATGTTGAGGGGTGATCTTAGCTGTGAGAGAGAGAGAGTGAGAGTGAGAGTGAGTGAGAGAGAGAGAGAGGTGGTTGTAGTTTGTATTGTGTGTGTGTGTGTTAACGTGTTTGTCGTTTCATCATAAAAATTGCAACACACCTACACACACACACACACACACACACACACACACACACCTACACACACACAAACAAACAAACAAACGAACAAACAACACCACTTCCTTAGTACATTAATATATCAATCATTGTAGGTAATTTTTTTTCCCCTGCATTAATCCTATTTAATACAATACAATGACTTGTAGGTTATATTTCTTGTCCCTGCTGACGTCTGAGAGAGAGGGAGAGAGAGGGGGGAGGGAGGGAGGGAGAGTGAGAGAGGGAGGGAGAGAGAGGGACGTAGGGTGAAGGAGGGAGTTAACAAAATCTGTTTATTAGTTAATTACAAAATTCTGTCAACAAAAAGAAAAAAAAGTTTCACTTAAAGTTTTGTTCTTTTGTTTAATAAATTATAAAGAAAAGTTGATGTGATTAATTCTCTATTGTTTGTGTCGTGAGAGAGAGAGAGAAAGAGAACATAATCCCTTCAGGCACCTCTCTCTCTCTCTCTCTCTCTCTCTCTCTCTCTCTCTCTCTCCTTGAATCACTGCCAGCATTCAAAACCCAACAAGAATTTATGTTTATTGCCTCAAGAATTTGGCAACATTTATTGAGATAGACAGACAGGCAGACAGACAGACAGACAGGCAGACAGACAGACAGATAGATAGATAAATAGACAGACAGACAGATAGATATACAGACAGATAGATAGATAACAGCTACGCGTGTCTCAGTCAATCAGGAGAGGTTTGTTTTGAGAGAGGCGACAGTGTTACAGTGGCTCACGTCAACACGGCATTAACTTGAGTATAACCCTTTGTTTAATGGGCTATGTGGAGAGGAAAGTCCATTATAGCGAGGGTTTGGTATATGGAGTCTTTTATATCGAGGGTTCATTATACCGATGGTTCATTATAGCGAGGGTTTGTTATATGGAGTCTTTTATATCGAGGGTTCATTATAGCGATGGTTCATTATAGCGAGGGTTTGTTATATGGAGTCTTTTATATCGAGGGTTCATTATAGCGATGGTTCATTATAGCGAGGGTTTGTTATATGGAGTCTTTTATATCGATGGTTCATTATAGCGATGATTTGTTATATGGAGGGTCTTTTATATCGAGGGTTCATTATATCGATGATTTGTTATATCGAGGGTCTTTTATATCGAGGGTTCATTATATCGATGGTTTGTTATATCGAGGGTCTTTTGTATCGAGAGTTTGTTATATGGAGGGTCTTTTATATCGAGGGTTCATTATATCGATGATTTGTTATATCGAGGGTTCATTATATCGATGGTTTGTTATATCGAGGGTCTTTTATATCGAGGGTTCATTATATCGATGGTTTGTTATATCGAGGGTCTTTTGTATCGAGAGTTTGTTATGTGGAGGGTCTTTTATATCGAGGGTTCATTATAGCGAGGGTATATGGTATATGGAGTCTTTTATATCGAGGGTTCATTATACCGATGGTTCATTATAGCGAGGGTTTGTTATATGGAGTCTTTTATATCGAGGGTTCATTATAGCGATGGTTCATTATAGCGAGGGTTTGTTATATGGAGTCTTTTATATCGAGGGTTCATTATAGCGATGGTTCATTATAGCGAGGGTTTGTTATATGGAGTCTTTTATATCGATGGTTCATTATAGCGATGATTTGTTATATGGAGGGTCTTTTATATCGAGGGTTCATTATATCGATGATTTGTTATATCGAGGGTCTTTTATATCGAGGGTTCATTATATCGATGGTTTGTTATATCGAGGGTCTTTTGTATCGAGAGTTTGTTATATGGAGGGTCTTTTATATCGAGGGTTCATTATATCGATGATTTGTTATATCGAGGGTTCATTATATCGATGGTTTGTTATATCGAGGGTCTTTTATATCGAGGGTTCATTATATCGATGGTTTGTTATATCGAGGGTCTTTTGTATCGAGAGTTTGTTATGTGGAGGGTCTTTTATATCGAGGGTTCATTATAGCGAGGGTTTGTTATATCGAGGGTCTTTTATATCGAGGGTTCATTATATCGATGGTTTGTTATATCGAGGGTCTTTTGTATCGAGAGTTTGTTATATCGAGGGTCTTTTATATCGAGGGTTCATTATAGCGAGGGTTTTTATATCGAGGGTCTTTTATATCGAGGGTTCATTATATCGAGGGTTTTTATATCGAGGGTCTTTTATATCGAGGGTTCATTATATCGGGGGTCTTTTATATCGAGGGACCTTTATATCGAGGGTTCATTATATCGAGGGTTGATAGTATTACCACGTGTCAATATTTATAAACAATGAGTGACGTCATGACCCCATTTGATTGATAGTATTAACACGTGGCAATATTTATAAACAATGAGTGACGTCATGACCCCCAGCTGATTGATAGTATTAACACGTGGCAATATTTATAAACAATGAGTGACGTCATGACCCCAGCTGATTGATAGTATTACCACGTGTCAATGTTTGTAAACGAATGACGTCATAATTGAATTTTGAGTTGCCAAATGTCACTGGTATTAATTATTGTTCTTAGATGATTGTAATGAATTTATTTAATATTTATTTACAGATTAATTAACAGTTCTTTGTGTGTGGTTGTCTGTCTGTTCTTTACCATCTGTATGTATGTATGTATGAATGCGTGTATGTATGTATGTATGTATGTATGAATGTATGTATGTATGTATGTATGTATGTATGTATTTATGAATGTGTGTGTGTATGTATGTATGTATTTATGAATGTGTGTGTGTATGTATGTATATATGTATGTATGTATGTATGTATGTATGTATGTATGTAAGCATGTCCAAGTATTTTAACAGGGAAACATTTAACATAACCCCCGGGGAAGGATAGGTTAAATTCGGGTTATATAATCGTTAAAATTATTCCCAGGTAATAATCGCTTCAATACCTTTTTAACACCACTTTTGTGAACTATAATTAATCTGTCGGGAAGGTGATCACTTGACGTCCTCTCGTGAATAGAATTTTTTTCACTTGATATAAAAAAAAAGTGAATAATGACTGACTCTGAGGGGTATTATTTGACGACATACATACATACATACATACATACATACATACATACATACATACATACATACACACATACATTCATAAATACATACATACATACATACATACAAACTAACACACACACACACCCACACACACACACAGGCAAGGTTGGGTTAGGTAACATTATCCACCTAATCCACACACACACACACACACACACACACACATACAGGGTGTGGGTTGTGCACCAGCTTGTGTTGCCACGTATGGTAGATAGATAAACACACACATATATATATATATAGATTAATTGATACATACATACATACATACATACATACATACATACATACATACAAAAGTAGATAGATAACCTCTCTCTCTCTCTCTCTCTCTCTCTCTCTCACTCTCTCCAGCTACACACACATTGAAAGCTCTTTATAATAACAGTACACTCGTATTAAACTCCTTTGACGGGATTTAACTCTTAATGCTAATGGGCCTAGTACCATACATACATACATACATACATACATACATACATACATACATACATACATACATACAGGTGTTTCGTATGACTTACAGACCGACACGAAACAGGTCTTGAGACGGGGTACAGACTAACGCAACAGTAGAACCTTAGCAGTAGTGTGTGTGTGTGTGTGTGTGTGTGTGTGTGTGTGTGTGTGTGTGTGGAGATAGATAGATTGGTTAGGCTTAGGTTAGGTTATGGCAGGATAGATTAACACTAACTCTAACATGATTGACTCACACACACTATACCGTGTTTATTTCTCGCCAATGAGGATAATTCCCAATTTTTTTTCTCCTTAAACAAAGCAATGTACAAATCATGCTATGGTGACCAGTTAGTGATTTATCTTAACTATTTTTAATTCCTCACACGTACATATAACATTAATATGTGATATATGTTCAAAGTCCGCGTGTTATATGGACTAAAAATGAAGTATACATACATACATACATACATACATACATACATACATACAGTACATACATACATACAACAGCCAGGATACGTTAACACACACACACACACAGACAGACAAGCTTTGAACTTACTTACACACGCCGCTTTTCGTCATTTTATGCTGAGTTTATGAAAGTCACAAAAAAAGCTGATTTTAAGCTGTGAGTTATTGGGGAGGTTAAGCTTGTGTACGTGTAACCTGTCACGTGTGCATATGTAACCTATGTGTGTGTGTGTTTGTGTGTAAAGAGAAAGACAGACAGACAGACAGAGACACACAAACAGATAGACAGAAAACATCCAACATCCCACATTCCCTCAACATCTACCGTCATAACCATAAAATTGTTCTCACATCCAAACAAACTTGACGGAAAGTAGCGTCAATAATTGGTACTTGGCAACTCTACCATGCAGTTGTTTTCCTGCCAATATTAAATAAAAGTCACGTATTTTTAGATATTTTCTTTAATTTTCTGGAGATTTTTATATAATGTATGAAAATCTACAGGATGATTATTATTATTATTATTGCTACTGTAAATACATACATACATACATACATACATACATACACACACATCATTTAAAATCATATGAAAAAAAAATTGTAAAAATTAATGCACACTTGGCAACGAGATATGACAGCTTGTTAACCCAAGGATGAACAAAGCTAATGTAGAGTGATAGGATGAACTAGGGCGGGAATGTGGTGGTTAAGGGGGGGAGGAGGGAAGAAGAAGAAGAAGAAGAAGAAGACGAAAGACCCGACTTTATCAAACGCCTTATTGAATTACACAAGATATTTACCTAAATTAAAATGTAATTTGGTGGTGAAGATATGGGGTTTATGGGTGGAGTGAGGGTGGAGTAGAG